TTTTGAAGGAAAGTATCAGCTAAGTGTGGACCCTTTCGCACAGACCCCAACACGCCCTCTCGACATGCACACATCACAACAGCACTGTATGCCAGAGAAGAACAGGATGCACATGGAAAGCCTTGCTTGTCACATCTGCTGGGCTGTAGTGTGTGGCTGAGCCTAATGGAGATGTTGCTGGGCTGTCGCCCTGGGGCCAGGCCGGTCACCCTGGGCCTCCCCCTCTCCCCCATCCCCTGCCCATCCCAGTTAATGGCCAGGGACTCACTTTCGCTCACATAGCACTTAACACAAAGGGTGCCTTGACTTAGCCGTGGCCTTAAGTGCCACAACAATACCACTAATAAGCAGGGTTACAATTTTACCGCCGAGACTGTATTATTATGTAGCATTATACCTTTGAACATGCCTATTCTCATTTCTAGTAAAGGGCTCAACTCGGTGCTCCCTGTTATAAATCATATGCTAATTATAAGTATAATCTGAAGAGCTTTTCCTTTTATTTTAAAACGTATGTATAGGGCATAAGCTTTGTCATGATGCTGTGCTGCTACTTGGCCTGAAGTGCCTTTATCCTCCATACAGCTCTACACGTGGAACATGAGCAAAACACAGGGCAGCCACTAACAGAGTTAGCAGAAATTGCTCATACCACAGGATCACACAAACAGTGCCACTGCCACTGCTGGTCACCGAATGCCAGGCCATCCTGCCACATGGACTTTAAGAAACTGCCCATTAGGATGAAAGCTCCCATACATGCTGTCAGCCTGAAGCCTCCTACCTGGTAAAAATGGAAACTGGACACCTAGCTAAATGTTAGTTTTCATTAATGCCTCAGAAGCAGATTGACAAAAAGCTGACACTTGGAAAAACTCAAACACCATGAACCAGATTCTAGATTCTGCCAGGTCCCAGCTCCCCATGGGGCTCAGCATCACCTGAGAAGCACCTGGCAGCTTAGGCCCTGTGTCACTTGTGTCTTTTTACTGGCAGTCCCCAGGAAACTGCCCCAAAGACAAAGGAGGTATTTCTGGCAGTGCCCTTCGGCTCTGGTGGATTTCTCCTGGTATCAGTGAATGGATGGGAATGGGAATGAGACCCATTTTGTTTCCAGCTAGCAACGAGACCCATTGCAGAAGACATAAAAGGCCAAACTAGTCCCTATACCATGACTACCAAAAGCACTGGGCAAGCTGCAAGCCCTGCTGATGGCCCCAGAACAGTGCTGTAAAGGTACTCTGGTGTGATCATACAGCACGGACTCCATCACTAAACTGCTTGCAACTCTACCTGAAGGCCAAATGTAACACAGTGACACGGTCTCCTGTTTCCTCAGCTTGCAGCAGCTTCCCTGCACTACCACATGTGTCACAGCTGAGCTGATGTCCTCTTTTTCTCATCCCTTCCTTAGCACTGGGCCCCTGCCTTTGCTCACTCAGTGCTTGCAGGAAAAATGAGGTGGAAGTGGGCAAACAGAAAGAAGGGCTGTGTTTTTCTTTTCATGTTTTAATTGATTGTGGGGGATATTTTGTGTGTTCATTGCTTGGCAATTTTTTTTAACATCAAGTAGGGAAGTTGCATACAAAACCTGAAAACCTCGTGACCGTGATCTTGCAGGCAGAAATTGATCTTGCATTGGCAGGAATTACACGATTCCCTCTCAGCACTCAAATTAAGGTCCAGTGTTTCCCTTCACTTGCTGAAGACAGAGTTAAAAATGAACTCTTAAATCTGACAGAGCTTCTGATGCACAGCATCGTCTCCTAAACATCCCATTCCATCTTCCTGGTCGAAGATAAACCCCAGCAGCTCTGCTCAGCCCTTCTCACCTCTTACACCTTTCAGCCCCCTCCTCCCTTTCCAGTCTTACTGCAAGGAGCCGATCATTACCCTTTTCCCTGTGGATAGTCCATCACAAGCTATTTTTATTCTCACTCTCTGCAATTCCCTGACTAACTTCCCCATGCCAAAATATCGCTGAAAGTCATCAACCTTCAGCAAGGCCAACAGATGAATCAAACCTGGTGCCAGGTCATTTAGGAGATGAGCCAGTATAGCGTTCAGAACATTTTTCTAATGTCCGTATCAGGGGAATATTTAAATGCCATGGCTTTAAAAAGTCATACTCAAACTTCCCAGAATAATTCCATTCTAACAAGCTGTAGATGAAGCTCCAGAGGAGTGGCTTCCTTTAGGAACATTAGGGCTTACAATAGGAAAATATTTTTCTCCCCTTCATAGATTAGTCCATCCGCCCATTCTTCCGCCTACCAGTGCAACAGCATAAATAAATGGGCAAGGCCCCCGAGGAGCAGATGCACTGAGAATACCCCGTCTTCCATGCCACGCTGAATGTTCCGCGCCACAATTTGGAGGAACAGAATGTTTTTACTAATATTATCGTTATGTACATTGCCTTCCATTCTCTCCAACTGCATACCATTTTCATTCCCTCCTACATTTTTCTTTCAAGCTAGAGGCTGGAGCTACTGTGCACTGGTAAACTGCTGCTGCATGCTTGCTCTGAAGTAGATGTGTAACAAAGATATAAGAGGTGATACGATCTCTGTACAGAAATCTCTTACCTATCTCTCTGTGGAAGTAAAGATCTGCTCAGGGCACGGTCAGAACAGACCCTCTAATAGTTTTTCCCCATCTGGCTCTTCCCCTTGTGTTGTCACCAGTGGGTCTGTAGGCACTGAGAGCAAGATGCTGGGAGTTTTCCGAACACAAGGCTGTCATGATGAGTTATGTTTTGGAGTGGCAGGGGAGACGGTGAGAGGGGAGCAAGCAAACAGAGTCTAGCTTTAAAACTGAGGGAATGAAAATCATTGTACGGGACCTCAAGGCAGAGGGAACCCTCTCCCTTTGCAACCTGACATCCCATCTCCCGGCTGCAGCCCCTCCTCTGAAGCAAGGACCAAAATGTCCCAGAAACATGGGACTAGTCCTGGGGAAAGGGAGGGAGACAACCTCCCTTCCTCAGAAACACGAGATCTGCTTAAAGAGCTGGGGGAGGTCACTGTCCATGCTGACCTGTGACAGAAGCACATCCTGCCAGGAGCAGCATACTACTTGGTGCTGCACTTGCAGGGCTGGGAGGTGCACAGCTCCCACCAACTGTGCCACTTGGCACACATCTGGCTAACACAGCTGGATCTCGTTATTCAGATGTTGCATTTTAGTGCCTGACCTAACACTGGGAGGCCGCACTCTCTGTGCACATCTATGTACCCCGAAACCACTCTCCCAGGCACACTCCCTGTCACCCTGCTTGGCTTGCTGACAGAACTTTTTGCAGGCAACACATGCAGGCAGCACCCCCACCATCCTTCAGCTTGTTCTGCTGCAAACGCAGCTTCAGCACACAGTGTTTAGATAAACTTCAGAGCTCCAAGGCTAAGTGGGAAATGGAAATCCAGTGACCCCTGGCTGGGCAAGTGAGCTTAATGACTTGTCTGCAGCTGCTGTCCCAAACATACGCCAGCAAACATCTGCCTGACCAAGGCAAAGGATTGATGGAAGGGATTTGCCTTTAAAAAATGGGATGAGCCGGCCAAGAGTTCCACCAGAAAAGGGTTAATGGGATATAGGAATTGCTACTGAGTGGAAAGGAGAGGAGCCCGGAGTCAGAGGCAACACCCCTTGTTAGGTGTTTACCGTGTCGCCTCTAAACCCCTTCCATCGCGTATGCAAGGCAGATGAATTACTCTGTAAATCCTATTACCCCGTGTGGATAAATCTTACACGCGAGTTAACAAGTCTGGAGAGCTGGGGAATGGAAGCTGTGAACGGATATGCCAGGATCAAAACAAGCCAGCACACGGGGGCTGAGGGAAGCGATACACACAGACACATCTCTCTCCTAGCATCCTCCGTTCCCGATCCCATCTTGCTGGCTCACACACCCTCTGTCATTAACTGGGAGGGATGCAGGGCACAGAGGATCACGTTGCAGGCTGTTTGGTGGCATCCAGCCGGATTTATTTCAGAGGAAGAGAAAGAAAACTTTGTGGCTGCTGCTCGCTTTGCTAGGGAATTGCTCCCTTGGTGCTTCAGGGTTTGTGCACTATCAGCTCCTCACACAGATTACAGACTTTATTTCACGTTACGTCCAGTAGTTTTATAGCCATAATATACAGCACATGCACACACACAGCATTTTCCTTTGGTAGGGAACCTACTGCAGGTAAGTTGAGCAAGGCAGAATTTGAAAAATAAACCCACAGGAGCAGCTTTCAGCTATTTGAGACGCTCTGAACCAAAAGCCCGCGAAGCCACAGAACTACTGCTGGAAAACCCACACGGCGGATAAGGAAATACAGTGCTCAGCACTGCCAGCAAAACACGGCTTGGTGTGCAAAGACACCCTCCTCCTCCCAGCTGCTCAGGCACAGCAAACACCCACCCACCGAGCCCTGCAAAAGACCCAGCGCAGTGAGTGAGATGTGAGCTGCGGGGACACCAAAGCTCTCCCGCTGTTTATTCTCCATCCTTCCTACTTCTGTATCCATCTGCCCTCCCTTCCGGGCACAGAAAATAAATAAATAAAATGAAAAGCCAGAGTTCCCCACAACAACTTGTCCGAGAGTTCCCACAGCACCAGGGATAAAGTTTTTGCAAAGGTACGACAAGAGGCATGGCATAATCAACGGAACATCTGGCAAGCACAGCTGGATCCCTTTCGCTCTCTCCATTGATACGGCTGGGCTGGTGGCGAACGCACGCTGGCGAGAGCAGACTCACACAAACACATCTTTCCCCGCTGAAATTCTTTTGATCCAGAGCACTACGAGAGGCTTTCAAAGGCTTTGCAAATGTTTTGATACGAAGGCACAAACACACACGCGGAGCCTGCTTGCAGCAGCTGCCGTTACCGCAGTCGGAGAGGCAAAATAACACTCACAGAGGCACGCACACAGTATTACATCTATGCATTGCAAGCACGGCAGCACAGACACGCATACGGAAAAGGAAAAGTTGGCAGAACGCCCTACCTGAGGATGGCTGTGTCCCCCTGCCTCACGGTGATGTTATCGGTGCCGCGGGTAAAATCCACGCTGCGGACTGGCAGCCCTGTGGGGAGAAGGCAGAGCAATCTCAGTAGGACCAGTGGTAATTGTTTCCGATCAGGCTGAGCCCTCGCTACCATGGCTGGTCTCGGTGAGTTTCGCTGCCTGCACTCGTCTCTCTGTGCGCGTGTATGTGGATGGGTGGATGGATGGATGGAGAAAGAAAAACAGTAATAATAATGTACAACTCTCGCTCTGACAGACAGCCCCGGAAAGGGGAGGTGATTTCACAGCCCTCAGCTGCCACTTTCTTGTGCTCTTTTCGGTCTCTCGCCGGCTTCTTCCCCCCCTCTTTCCAAAAAAAAGTCTGTGCACAACCTTCAGCGGAGGAAAAGAGAGGGAAAAAAGAGGAGCGTGCGCGTGTCAGAAAGGCAGATCAAAACGACGCAAAAGTCAGGCGGCAAAACCCAGCAACAATTAAATCAACCCGTCTGGAGCGATGGAGAAAGGTGGGAAAAAAAAAAAAAAAGAAGAAGAGCGCAGCTCCCGTGCCGCCGGCTGCTCGCCTGGCCGGTCCTGCTTCGGTGCGTGGCTGTGCAGCTCCCAGCTCCCTTCCTAACCCACTTTCCCAGGCGGAGCGAGCGAGGGAGGAGGGAGAGGAGGAGGAGGTTGGAGAGGAGGAGGAGGGAGGGAGCCGCACTCGTGAGATGAGGACGGCGGCTCGGCCGCACGGCTGGAGCGAGAGCGGGAAGGGAGCGGCGAGGAGCGGCTGCATCCCCGGCCCCATGCCCTCAGCCCCTCTGATCCTCGGGACCGGGCTTCCGCGATGGGACTGGCCGGGGATGCGCGAGTGTGTGTGCGTGAGCGGAGGGAGCCCGGGAAGGGGAAAGACGATGGCGAGCTGGGAGACTGGGAAGAGGAAGGAGGAAGGATGGGGACAGGAGGGAAAGGGAGGATGGAGGCAGGATGGGAGAGAAGAAGGAGGAATGGGGGAGCCGGGAAGGGAGGTGGCGAGGCTGAGGGCAGGCGGGGGTGGCTGCGGGAGGCAGATGGAGGAGGCCCCAGGAGCGGGGTACGGAGGATGGAGGACAATACGGTGAACGGTCACAGGAGTAAATACTGCGAGAAGGGGGCTGCGTGTTCAAAGCAGCACGGCCAAAAGTGCAAACAACTTGGCTATGAGCTCGCCGATACGAGGAGGAGCAATGCTGGCAACTGCCCCTGCAGCCCCAAGCAGCGCTTTTTCCCTTCTCACACTTTCTCTCCCCAAACAAACAGTGGCACATCGCTCCCTCCGCCTCCCTCCCAGCTCTCCCCGCTCGCTCGGTCCCTCCCTCCCCCCCTCTTTTCCCAGCCTTTGAGGGACGGAGGGCGGACAATGCTGGTATTGAGCTGCCGCCAGTGTGAATGCTCAGCCTGTCCTCCCCGCGTGCCAGCAGCCGCAGCTGAGCCCCGAGCCCTGCAGCAGCGCTGCCCGCCGGGAAGGCTCCCGGAGCACACAACGGCCCTGCACCGGAGTGAGAGGAAAAAAAAAGATGAAATTAATGGAGAGGAATAGGCCGTGTGTCTTACTGCTGTCACCGGCTTGCTGCTTCCCCATCCCGCTCCCCTGTGTGTGAGGGAGGGAGGGATGGAGAACGGCTCCTAGGAATGCTCGACCAGCATAACCCTTCTATGGCCAAAACGGAGGGGAGAGGTAGTTCCAAGACTCCTGGGGGCACGTCAGACCCAAACTAGGGAGATGCAAGCAGTGATCCCCTGCCATACAAATGGAGGCTCAGGATCAGAGCAGAGCTCCAGCCAGCCCTCCATCCTGTTGCTGAGCCAATCATGAGCTCAAGGCAAGAGGGCAGTGATTGCCCCTGAACGTTTCCCCAGTTCCCAATGATCTGTGTCTACGGCATGTCCCAAGCCAGTGGCAATGTCTTTGTAGTTCATGGCCCTCTATTGATTTTCTTCTTCCAGGAATGCATCCAGTCCTCTCTGAACCCCTAGGAACCAACCCCTGCAGTCTTGGTATGGAAAGGCTATGCTGTCTGTGGGTGCTTAAACAATCTCTGCATGTGTTAAAAGCCCACAAATTAAGGGCTAAGGTCAAGACACCACTTCTCCAGTGTCATGCAAGCAGTAGCAAAAGAGATGGCTGCTTTGTATTCAAGCCAAGGCAGTGAGCAGATGCAGATAGTTCCCAACAAGAGACTTGGTATGGATGGCAACAGAGAAGGGGAGCAAGGAGAAAGGGCTTGGCAGTTCATCCACACACACTGAGTGTTTCTGAGCTGCTGCAGACAGAACTGAAGAAGCCCCTGCTGCAAAGCGACTCAGAGCCACTGCCCTGTGCACAAGGGATAGAGGTGCCATCACCCTGGTGGCATCCCAGGCATGGTACGATGGGCATCAGGAAGATGCCTCTGGACTCTTGCAACAGTTTGAGTACAAGCCCCAGCCCCATATGAAGTTAGATAGCACTCCTCTTTGCAAATCAAAACTTTGCATGGATCTGTTTTACAAGGGCCTCCCACATATGTTCCATCTACATTTAATAAGAACTATTGTATGTAAATTAAATGCCAGTGGAGTAAGGAAAACATATTTGTCAAAGATTAACTATTATGTAATGCAAGAAGCATCTGCCACCCAACTGCTAGAGCTCACTAAATATTTCCTTATCTCAGAGTATTTACTTAGGAGGCAATAACTATCCAGTTAAATCTAAATTTAATGCTTAGTTAAATATACTTCATGGAAAGTGACACTGGTATGTTTTATATAGACAGTGACAGAGGAGGGTTCAGAGAGGCAGAAGGCAGGAATCCTATCCCCAGACCACCATGACAGCCTGACTTAAGGTGGGACTGCACTTGGCTATGCCTCCCAATGACACAGTTGCATCACAGCAGAGTCGGAGACCCCTCTCCACTGAAATGGAAATAAGAACAAAGCCTTCCTCTTCTCAGACATTTATGCAATCCTCATTAGAACCACTCTAGCATAACTATTTAATAATAATCATCATAATAAACAGAGGGATAAGGATTAAATTCCCCTGAGGGTCTTGTAAACCTTGGGAAAACATTGAAATTTGTCTTATTTGCTTTTAAAAACATACAGAAGTAAAAGGAAGAAGTTGCCTGGGTGTAAAAGTCCAAACAAGCAAGAATCACACAGATGCTAGGAGAAAGCTTCATGAGCAAAATAAATAACATGGGTTTTTCAGTGTGTGCTCCCGGAAGAAATAACTCTCTATGCTCATCTCCCCCTGCTGGAAGCTGATAACGAAAGCAGCAGGACTGCCTTCTGACTTACCTACCTTCTAAAAACTGTCAGTTCTGGCCTGACGAGTCAAAATTTTTTAAATATGCTGTAGTACAGGAATGGAATGGGCAGCATGAGCCTAGTCCTGTAGGTACCACATCACCTTCCTCCATCTGCTTCTGATGGAAAGCCAGCAGAAACTAAAATCATGGACTTTGGACACAAACAGGGATGGACTTCTCTGCGTTTGAACTGTCTAAAGGCAAAGAATTTCTCACAGAAGCCTTCAGAGTATTTCATGACACACCTGATTGCTGCAAGGGGACAGCATTAACTGCTCTGCAAGTCAAATCCAAGCACCTAGGGACTTTATTTAGGGTATCTACAGTGGTCAGTGAAAACATATGATGTTTTGTGAGCTATGACATGTTTAGTCAAGATACACTGCTGTACTCAGCAGCAGAGCCTACTCACAGCTCCTCAGCCATGCAGAGAAAATACAGTTGTGTTCCATTGGCAGAGAAGTTATGGAGATGAATGGGGAAGAGGCAAAGTGGTTTCATGTGGAAGAAGATGAAGGAACCGTGTCAGGGCAGTGATGATCTCTGCTTCCTGTGCCTGCAGATCCTCCTGGCATACATTTCTGCCATGGTGGCAAAGGGCTGTATCATTTAATTAAGCAGCTATGTTCAACCCTCCTTTTCTTTCTGGCCTATGGGGAGACAAAAGAGTAGAAAAGGAGGAGGAGCAGGAGGAGAAGCAAGACTAAAAGAGAAGGGGAAAAGCCTGTGAATGCAGCAGGTGCGTCTACAGGCAAACTGAGGACAAAATGAACTTTGAATGTTTAACACCTTTTTCCTCACACTTAAAGAGAGTTCCTCTAGGCTGCACTCAGACCATTCTTCCAGCTGTACCTGCCAGATACAGTGGCCTCCATTTACACCAGGCCAAAAAGCGAGTTGCAAAAAGAGAGGACATTTCCATGAGGAAACTGAAAAGAAGAAAATCTGAGGGCAAGATGCTGTCTACCCATCTTCATCCTATGGAGACTGGAGCATTAATGTCACTTACTCATATCCCCAGGGCACTTAAAGAAGACAGGTTATATGGAAACATTCTGCAATATGAGGAAATGTAAGTGTATGATAGCTCAAATACTAGTAATAACACTTTCAGCATGTGCTTTATTTTAAGAAAAACGGGCTTGTTATGACTGGTTTGCAAATCTATAAATCAGTCTGGCTTTTGAATCTGAAAATCAGCAAGCTTAGGCCTGAGACACATGTCAGGACATATATTGAAACCAGAACAAGCTTCCTCTGAACTAAGAACCTCATCAGACAGAAGGATTTAGCACATCAAGAGCAGTCACAGATAGGTCATAACTGTGGATGATAACATGTACATGCACAACACTCTAAGTGTGGTCACTGAGCTGTAACATAACCTCCTCCTGTATCAGAGCAGTAGTGATTTCCACTGACTTGTAACCTCTTTACTGTGTCATCGATCTCTCTTCACAATCGATCACTTCCACATGGACAATTTAGAGACCAAGATCCAGGTTCTGAGTTGCCCTAAGTTGACATATCACCCCCACAGCTGAAAAGCTATCCCTGATTTCCACCACCTAAATGTGAGGCCTTGAGCTTGGAAGTTCCTTTGCTTCTGCACTGCCTGGGTTGAAAACTGTTATCATCATTGAAAGAGAAAATCTTGTTCAACTGGCTAAATGGATTTGTACTCATGCTCAGATTCACCCTTAAAGACCAAATCCAAAGCTTAGACAGGAGAAGAACAGCAGCCTTTTTTCAGCAGGATATGATTGAGTGGCATTAAAGAATTAGCATCACAACTGGTTTGTGGCCTTAATTACTGGTTACTGCCACAGTAAGTGCTTTTAGAACTACAAAGTCATTGGTAACAAGTCCTTCCTACTTCTGAGGAATGAGAAACTAGGAGAGTTTCCATTTTTGTTAGAAGTTGTTCAGTTAAACCCTACCTGCACACAGAGTCTGCAGACCTACTGGGCAGCAGCCTGCACTGCCCTCCCAAGGCCCTCTCCTGTTCATGGCTTAGGAAGCAGGGAGAGAGCTGAGTCCAGCTCTGGCATTTCTCAAAGGGATGCTACATGTGTTTTTTTTTGCTCTGGGAGGGAAATCGTTGCTTTACAACTGTCAAGTAACACTTGATGAGTCAAGTGGAGCCTGAAATGCTTCACTTCCTGTACAAATGCCTGGAAAGGCAGCAGCTCTATCTGTGTAGGCTCAGTGTCTTCCCGGAACGTCCCTCCCAGTGCTAGTGAAGATCTACAGCCCCAATAGAAGTAACTAGGATTGGCTTCACAAAAGGATGCTAAGGTAGCT